TCTGGTAGCCTCATGGAAGTGGAAAGGAACTAGGTGAAATTAATGAATATTGTATTTAACCCAGGAATCCCAAATACTGTCTTTCAACCTGTAATCCACATAAAAGCTATGAAGAAGCATTCTGTGGTGTTTTGTGCAGACTTACTGGAAGTCTGGGGTGCACCCTCCCTGACACGCACCCCGCGGGGGCTCTGCGGTGGCTGGGCAGACAGGAGGCTTGGCCGTGACTCTGTGCAGGGCCACGTGTCATCTGCTTCACGGTCAGTGACCTGTCTGTTGCCCGACACCCACCTCTGCTCACACCGGCACAGGTGCTTCTGCAGGCCGGGCTCCCGGGGGGAAAACTGCTGCTGGCTTCCGCTGTGTTGTGCCCACGGTGCACAGCCACGCCCGGCACGCAGCCCACGGCTTGGTGCGCACTCACGAGCCGACGGACGGACAGGCGCAGAGGTCAGGAGCATTTGCCCTTCCTGGGGTCTCTTCTGTGCCTTTCCCTCCTGCTTACCCCGCCACCGGTGCTGGCCACACCACCTCCTCTCTTCCGCAGACAAACCTACTTCCTGTCGCCCAGGGGAGCGCCAGTCACCTTCCCTGGGATGGAGGTGTGTTCCTGGGCCTGGGGTGCAGAGCCTGGGGCCTGCACGGCGAGAGGGCGCGGGGGCTGGCACACGGTTAGGGGAGGCCCTGCGGCTTGCAGAGCGGCACCCGGTGGTCAGCCGTGACCCCGGATGTAGGCGTGTGATGCTGCTCAGTGACGGGAGGTCCTGGCACAGAGGCAGAATGATGGAGGGGCCTTTCTTTTGATGCTCCTCGCAGCTTGTGTGCAGTCAGATCTTTGGGAGTATTTTGAGTTAAATACAGTTCATTTTGTGTCTGACATTAGAACTTGAAAATCCGCCCAAAGAGGCTAAAAAGCAGCATCCTCTTGGGTTCGCTAGCAGCCTCTCAGAAGGAGCAGCCTCGGTGCCACCACAGGGGCTCGGGTGCTCGCCAGGTGGGGACCCCGTCCATATGCCTGCGGGTTCCCACTCCCACACCTGCTGCAGGCCATCATGCCCCTCTGGGCGCACCGTCCACTAGGAGTTCGATTTCTTATTAAATTTGTCTGCTCAACTATCTGTTTCCCAGGGATGATCGTTTATTTATCAGAAACACACCTGCCACTGGGACTGTCGCTTTGGTCACTAACAGTAATTATGATAATAATGATCGAATCTTGGTAATGACTGAATAACAGTGATTGGGGACGAGCAGCAGCGGGGGCACGGGCACTTTGCACGTGGTAACAACTCAATGAGGGAGGGATGCTCTTGTCCCCATTTACAGATGAGGAAACTGAGGTACAGCGCTAGGAGGCTTGCCCAGGGTCCCATGACCAATCGAGGCAGGCCTAGGATTTGAACCCTGGTGCTTTAGCAGCACTTGAAAGTGCAGACTTTTTCGCTGACTCACTGGGCTGCCAAGCAGACTCTTCACTGACGGCCACCACGTACCGGCCATTTTGTTTCAGTGATGCAGGGATGCAAGGGTCTGTAGATGTTACAGAGGAGACAGATGATCCCGTGATAGAGGGCTGTTCGGTCGTGGTGGCAGTGCAGCCGGGGCTCGGGGCTCACTGCCCCCCTCACTGCTGCCCATGCTCCCAGCAGCTTCTGCAAGGGACCAACCAGACAGACAGCTCTGGGATCGTGGGAAGGGACCCTCGCGCTGGAGCCTGAGGATACTGGTGTGTCCCCATTTCATCCTTCGTGGGAGGGTGTACATGCACAGAGAGAATCCTGCTTTGTAAATGGCCACGTCCTTCATCTGACTGGAAAAATACAACTTTTTTGGCGTGAAGCACAAAACATCGTTTGGTCTTTAACATTAGAAGGCTTCTCTTGGAACCCACCCAGAGGCAAGAGTCCGCAGCCGCATATTTCCTTCTAGAAGGTGTCCGGCTCAGCAGAATTTGTGGTGGTGAGCTGCTGACCCTCACGCCACGCCCACGTCCCCGGGGGCTTTCGACAACACCTTTGCCTGCACCGGGGCCACGTGAGTGTGGGCCTCCCTGGGGGACTGGTCAGAGGGAAGACTGCCTCCGACCCACACGCTCGGGATGGATCGTCCGCATGCAGAATCCACGCCGCTCATCTTACTGAGAGGTGGGACAGCATGTCCGGGCCCCTGCGATGCTGGGCCAGCTGTGCCATGCTTGGGCGCGGGTACCAGCAGCTCTCCAGAGCTTCTGGAGGGTTCTGACACGTGGATGGGGCTCAGAGCTGCAGGCCTCCCACCGTCCAGGAGGGGCAGCTTCTGCTGCTTGTGGCCATCACGACAGTTCGTGTCACTATGGACAGCGTGGTAACGGACTGATGGCGAGCGGCAGGGGCAGGGACCAGAATGCACTCTTGCCGTGGCCCTGCTGACGTGGAGCAGGGTGAGAAGAGCTTTAGAAGGACTGGACTCGTCTGACTTCTGACATCAGTGTCCTGGGCAGACCTTCCTCTGCTTTTTATGTCTGTGGATGGGGCAGAGCACTGCTTGTGTACCTCAGTATCCCCCTAGGTTTGCGGGACTGGGCTGTTGATGGGGCCCCGACTCGGCCCCTCTGCCCCACTGTTGTTCTGCAGGCAGACCCGTCCCCGGGAGGGCGGACCCCCTGGGATGTGACGCGGTGACCGCTTCATGAGCAATGGCCCTTTACCCAAACGGCATGGGCAATGCAGAATAGCGCATGGCTAACCGCCGGGCCGTGGTTCCCATGTTGGAGACGCCTCTGCCCGGTGCATATATAAGACAGCCCCTTTTAAAAAAGAAATCTGTATTTAAGGACGCGTTTGACTGTGTTCTTTGCCTCCCATAAAGGTCACCCAGATAGATTTTTCCTTCTTTAGCATTGCAGGCTGTGAAGCGCTGGGCATTTCTATTCTCCCTCCATCCAGTGAACCTGGGGGACTAAATTAGATTCTGAAATTGAGTGTGCAGGGGAGTCAGTGAGTTACCGTAATGGGAGGGTATTGCTTCTCACCTTGCAAGTAGCGAGGTCATGATAATATGAAGCGAAGTGGATTAAAATAAAACCAAAGGTATTTATTTACGACCTGCTCAGAATTGGATTGGCGTCCGTGTAAGTTGCATCTAATGGTAAAAGACAGCAGATTGATGTTCATCTGTCCCTGGGGACATTCTGCCAGTGAAATTTGCTCCGCGAATTCAATTTAAAGTCCCCCAGAAAGTATCCAAAATGCAAAAGGAAATGGGGTTGAGGAAGGCGATAAAGCAGCTGCGGCCAGCCAACAGCGGAGGACAGCCCTGGTGCGCGTCTCGGGGTGGGGGAGGGCTCTGCACAGCTCACGGACCCGAGGTGCCGCGTCACTCCATGCCGGGCCCTGGCCGCCCCTCGTGGGAACTGGGACCCCATTCTGCAGATGAGGAGCCTGAGGCTGCGAGGCAGTCAGTGGCTGGCCCATCTCCGCAGCCAGATGGCCGCACAGCCAGGGTCTGAGCCCAGACCTCCTGCCAAGTCCATGGCCCGAGTGCTCCCAGTGGCCGGCTCCCAGATGGCGCAGCCACCCCCAGCCTTCAGATAAAGGGCGTGGGGCTCAGGAGTTCCATTAAGGGCTGGACTGGGATGTGAACGCATCGCCTGCCCCCTCAGCACGCCCTCCTTGTGTCCCCTGTCCCAGCCTTGCGGGGCCAGGAGGCTCAGTGGATGGTGCCTGTGTGAGTCTCCCCGAGCTGCCCCTTTCCAGGCAGGCAGGGTGGGGCAGCCTGAGTCTGATGCCCTGCCCGTCCCCTGTCTTCTGCTGGGACCCTCGGGGGGGCCAGCACCAGCACCCTGAAACCCCTGCCACCCTTCAGGCTTACCCAGATCCAGTTATGGGTGGGATGGGAGGTGGGAGGGAAGGCCCTGGGGGCCACATTCTCCAGAACCAGAGCCAGCCGGGCTATCTATGCAGTGTTGGCCCACTTCCTGAGAAGGAGTCTGGCCTCAGGCCTTGCCCTGACCTGATGGCCCAGTCCCCCATTTCTCCTCCTCTGAGACCCCCAACCCGGGAAGCTGTCCTGGCCACACAGCCCTATCCACTCCAGCCAGAGCCCCGGGGGTGCCGGGGCCCGTGCTCCCCGAGACCCACCCCACCCTTGGTGGTGTCGCAGGTTGCTCTGGATGAGGGCCACGGTCCCTCAGACGGGCTGGTCAGGGTGCAGGACTGGGTGTCATGCATCACTATGGCCCCGGTCATGTTTTCCTTTCCAGCACTTTCTTTAGTATCCCTCTCTCTGGTTTCTAAACGGTGAGCTCTTGAGACAGTTCCTGTGTCCTGTGTGGGGTGAGCTCAGTGCCCAGCCCAGCGAGCTGAGACATGGCCCACATGATTGGCTGGGGTCAGCTGAGGGTCCCTAGCTTGGTCTTCCCTGGACACACTGAGTATCGACCGAGGGACAGTGACAGGGGCTGCCTGACATGTCCCGCCCCTCCAGCATGTGCCCACCTGGCGGATACCTGCCCCTGGTGCGCCCAGTGTCCCTGCTGAAGGAGCTGGTGCCTGGAGGAGTGTCACCAGATGCACAGAAATCTGTGTCTAAAGTCAGCCCTGGCCGGGGTGGATGGGGGCGCTTTCCTTGTGGATTCTGCAGAGCCTTGCGGGGAGTGGGGGTCCTGGGCTGAGGCAGCGCACTTGCAGCCGGGCCCCTCCGGACCAGCACCAGGACCCTGGAGCCCCAGGGAGCCGGTTCGGTGAGGTCACAGTGTGGGCGGCTCTGCCCTCAGCATCCCAGCAGCGTTGCCCGAAAGTATGCGGAGCCGGGCTAGGGCCTTCCTCCTGGCTGTAGGGGCTCTGGGCCTTTCGGAGTCCGGAAGGGAGGGAACACAATTCGTGGGATCTGGGAGGCCGTAGAGCCCCCTCTGGCTCACCCCCACTGCTGGTCAGTCCCCACCCGGGGGAGCCCCTGGTCTGCAGCCCCCTGCCCCGCGGCTGGTCACCTGCTCTGACCCGGGCTTGTCTCTTTTCCCCCAGGAGCTGCTGCTCTTCCTTCAGAACCTGCCCACAGCCCACTGGGGCAACGAAGACATCAGCCTGCTGCTGGCTGAGGCCTACCGCCTGAAGTTTGCCTTCGCGGATGCCCCCAATCACTACAAGAAATGAGCCGGGGCCAGCGCAGCTGGCCTCACCCCACCCCGGGGCGGCGCCCATGGCTGCAGGCCAGTGGCCAAGGAGGGGCCTTGCTGGGCGACCCTGCCCTCCAGGGAGCGGGCCAGGACTGGGCGTCAGGTGAGGGCCAGGGCCTGGCTGGGGGCCGCCTCTGTTTCCTAAGATACCAAAGAGAGCCGGGGGAGGGTCTTGGCCCTTCAGGGGGCCAGGAGCGGGTGGGCTTCTCCCTGCCCTGTCCCTGGAGCATCCTTGCCAAATGCCCGCCTCCTGGAGCCCCCAGGGCACAGCGGCCCGAGAGCCAGACCCTCTTGGAGGGGCCTGCTGTCTGGTGCCGGGACCAGGAGGAGGTGGTGGTCATCTCATACCTGCTTTGAAATGCAAAAGCCCTATTCTGTTGAGTGAAAGAGAATAAAATGTAGACAAAATAAGAAGTGAACCGTTGCCCTCACCTGTGAAGTCTCTGTCCCCACGGGGCTTCTTGAAGTTGGCCTTATTCCTGTAACTGTCCAGCCCCTGGGCTCTACTGTGTCCCTTCTCTCTTGCTCTCTCCTGGACTGGGGACTGCTCTGTGTGTCAGCTGAGCAGCCGGGAGCTGTGGCTATAGCAGGCTGGGGCAGGGTGAGGAGCTGAGCAGCCGCCGTGCTTTTCCAGCCTCTTGAAAGCGAGGACTGCGCCCCCGCTAGCCCGCATGCTGCTCTGCCCAGGGGGAGCTGGGGGGACACACCGCACACGGTGCCACTGAGGACATAGCTCCCTGCACCAGGCCATTGGCACAGGTGGGGTTCAGCCTCTGTAATCGGAGTCCTCGAGGCCTACTGCTTGGCCTCCCCCCACCTCCCAGGTCTCCGGAGGGTTACAGAGCTGATGGCTTCCTGCGGTCTGTGGGTCACCGGGGCTGAGCGCCCAGGCTCAGCAGGTCCTGGACTGGCCTGCCTGGGGCTCCGTGGGGGCCAGACACGCTTCCACACGCCCCCCCCCCCCATGCGGAGGTGCACCTGTCCCAGGCACGTGGCTGGCCCATGCTGACCCCTGAGCCATGACAGGCTCCTGTCCTCAGCTCCTCCTCCTGCTCCCAGACTCGTGTGTTTGCAAGCGCCTCTTGCCCACTGTGTGCCTGTCCTGGGGCAGCCAGGCCAGTGCCCCTGCCTTTGCACGCTCGGCGTGAGGACGCTGCGGGAAGCCTACGAACGGGGGATAGGAATACGTACGCATGTGTGATATGTGTATCCTTTTTTTTTTGTTAAAAAGATTCTCGGGTCATTACACGTGGCGTGGAAATCAGCACAAAATACTGTGCAAATGTACAGTGTTCCCAGATCAGCCGAGGGACCGGCCTCAGACCGGCTAGACAGAACTCCCCCAGCCCCGGGGTTGGGGGCTCCTCTCATCCGGCGCCCGGCTGCCCAGCGGCTCTTCTCCAGCCAGAGCGCTGGGTTCCAGGAGAGCTGCCCGCAGCCGCGTGTGGGAAGCCCCATCCTGCTTGAAGCTCCGCTGCGCCCCCCGGGGCCCCCCCCCCCCCCTTTGCCCCCCCCCGCCCCCCCCCCCCCCCCGCCCCAGAACCGCTGTCACAGAGCACTCTGCACCAGGCCAAGATGTTGGGTACACAAAACATCTGCCTCTGGAGGCAGTTAATTTTTCAGGTAGGAGGATCTGCGAAGTTAAATGAGGCTCCACGTGTATTTTTCTGTGTCTGTGAACCTGAAATTGAATGCTAGGGCTGTTGACACGCATCCTAGGAGCCTAGCCCATCGATCTGAAAGGATGGAAGGTGTTCTGTCTGGAAAATGATGTGCTGGAATGGGAATAAAGATGCAGTGAATCCCCCAGCCTTGGCCTAATTCAAGGACTCTCCTAAGGGAACGGGGCTGCCCTGGGCATCTTTGGTCCTTGGAGGCCGGGTGACAGCCAAGAGTGGGGGCACTGGGCTGAGTCCTGGCCTTTCCATACAGGCCTGACATGGGGCACAGCACCCACAGTCTTGCTGAAGCTGAGGAGTACCTCTGGGGGAGATGGAGGTGCAAGGCAGAGCAGGAGTCACGCTCGGGCTGCACCCCAAACCCTGATTCTGCACGGCTGGGGGTCAGATCCAAGCTGGCCCCTTGTTGGGCCATCTGCCAGGCCTGGGACCGGAGGGGTCTCCTTACCTGGCCATACCCAGTCAAGTGCCTCCTGGGACCCAGGACATCCCTGGGTCCGAGCCCTGGGTTCCCACCCTCCTAGGGTCATTGAAACAAGGCCCCATGCGCCCCAGCTCCTCAGGGCTGCTTCCATGGTGCCCCACGCCGCTCAGACACCCCACATCTGCACATCCCTGCACAGTGGGGACTCCCCAGGGCAGCACTTTGCTCTCTGCCATCTTGCGCTGTTCACTGATGGGGTAGGGTGAGCTGCTGTCCCCGTGGGTGGGCAGGAGATGCCACAGGGTGGGAACGCTCCCCTCTCTTCCCACCGTGACCAAGCGCCGTGCTGAGCTGGGCTGACGCCCAGACCTTGTTGCCGGCTTGGGCTCGTGGGGTAGGGAGGCGCCGGGTCAGAGCTCAGAGCTGGTGACCACTGGCATTTGCAGCCATGGTTTGTTGGTGTTTGTGGCCTGGCCATTGGCTCCTCAGGCCCATGTTGGGGTCCCACAGCCCCCATAGGTGGCTCAAACCCCAGGGGTCCTGAGATGAGCCCCTGACCCCTTATTCCCGTGGGCCTCAGCCTGCCAGGCTACCTGGAGTGGCTTTGCCTGTTGGTGCTGCTGCCAAATGGAAAGTGCCAGAGACAGGTTCACGGGGCGGCCGGGCCCCAACCAGGTCACATGTGCCAGGGAGGGGGTGGAGTGGAGTGATTCGGGCTTTGGAAAGGACTAACTGGTGGGCAGGGCTTCTGTGCTGGTGTTACCTGTGGCTCTGAACCGGGAGAACCCCCTCCTCCCACACCCCATGTTTCAACGGGCTGATTCCATCTCTAATGTAGGGCGAGTTCTGGCCACACCAAGCCTGGGCTTCTGGGAGCTGCCTACCTTGACCGTGGGCTGGTGGGCCTGCTGTCAGAACCACTGTTCAGTGAGGCTTGCTCAAGACGTGGGGAGACACTGCTCCCAGGGTCAGGCAGCAGGGCCCTCCCTGAGCCTCCCCGATCCTGCCCCACCCCAGCTGACCCTCTCGATTTTCCCCTTCCACCTCATGCTCTGTGAGCACCACGGGGTCATGGCTGCTCAGGGGTCCACCCTGCTCAGCTTTGAGGCTTGTCACCCTCGTCCTGTAGCCCGACCGATCTTTAACAAAGAACAGCCAGGGGCTGCTCACAGCGACCGTGCACCAAGGATCTAACCCCCGAGTCCATTTCATTGACAATTTGAGGCTGATTATTCACTTAGGAAAAAAATATACATATCTAAATACTTTCCCGATAATGGATTTAAACATAAAAATTAACATTCCCCAAAATGCTCAAAATAGAAATAGATATTTTTAGTAACGGAGTGGCAAAAGGCTTTTTGAGCATGATTCCAGTGACCAAACGACCCGGAGAAAGGCTGATGTACCACGTGCACTGTGGAGTAGCCGCGAGGACCCCCAGCACCTGCCCTGGTAGGCAGAGATGAATGATAGCAAGCTGAGCAAACATATTTGCAGCCTGAGTGAGATACTCATGTTCCTGAAGATGTACGGAGTTCTTGGAAATAACTCTTGGAAACAAAAATGGGCACAAGACAGAAACAGGCAGTTCTCAAAAAGGAGGGGCAGGAGTGGTCAGTAAGGCGCTCACATCATTAACATTTGAGTGGGAGGCAAGGCGTGAGATGTGGGGCTCCAGCAGCACTAGCTGCCTGGCCTTGGGCTGAGTTTGTGGCGATTCCTTACACGTCAGTGGAAGACCAATATGCTCTCTCTCAGTCTTTATATTTTTCTCCGAAGATCTAGCAATGATTTTTGTTGTTTTTTATTTTTAAACTGAAGTATAATACTCACAGAAGAGGGCACCCCGCAAATCTAGTGCCCAGTGAATCATCCAAAGCAAACACCCGGGCTCCACAGCCAAGGTCAAGGACAGCCCCTGGCCCGCACGCGCCCCAGGTCTTCCTGAGCGTGATGCTTTGTGTCTTTCAAAACTGTGTCCTGTAACAGATCAGCACGGGATCTACTTCTTTGAACAACTTACTTTGCTAGCTTTCTGCTTGTGAGGATGTCCGTGTCTGGGGTAGCTGTGTTTTGGTCCTTTCTGTCGCTGCCCCTTTCCCCCTTAGATAAATGGGTTACAGTTTATTTGGGTGGTTGCCAGTTTGGGGCTGTCACAAACACGGCTGCTCTGAACATCGCGTGTGTGACCCTTGGCGGACACGTGCCCACCATTCCGTGGGGTGTTCATCGAGACGTGCGATTAAAGGGCTGTATAGTGCTTCTGTCACTCTACAAGATGATGGTGGACTGTTTGCCAGAGTGGTTTCCCAGTTTACATTTCCACCGCAGGCCTCGAGGGCCCTCATCCCCCCACGTCCCCACCCACACGGATGACCTTGGCTGCTGGGGGCGGGGGATGCCGTGTCATTTCCCTGCACTCCGGCCTCCCTCACCTCTCCCCATGCAGGGCAATGTCTGCCGCAGACAGAAAGAGCCCTGCTTAGGACATCTTGTTGTACTAATATCCTATGTGCTTTCTCATGTCATTAAAATTCTTCAAAAACGCGATTTTAATGACTGCACAATATTCTGTTGCGTGGATTAACATAATTCGTGTATTCCCTGGCTGTACATTAAGCTGCTTCCATTTCTTTCCTGTTGCAAATGTTGCTGTGATCAACACTGATGGTCCCGGGCCCTTTTTCATCATGGATTTCTAGGAGAGGTGTCCCCTAACTTTCCGAAGTTTGCATTATCCCACCGCACTTTTATGAAAAACACAACATTAGTATCTGTTTTCACTAACTGAAAGAAATCTAGAGAGGATTTTCCCTCTTGTGAAAAGAGGTGAAGAGGGAAAATGGCCTCCAGTGTTGGTTCCACAGCGAGCCAGTTTAGATGCAGCGAGAATGGCATCACCCCACCCATCCTTCCCTGGGACTCCACTCAGGATCCTGGCGCCCGCCGCCACAACTCTGAACCATGTCTGTGAGCATCGATACTTTACCTCGTTTTATTTTGTGCATCTATTAGCGAGATGTGTCTGTCCCAAGGTATCAGAAAAGCCTAAGAGAGGTGATTTTTTGGGGGTCTGGGAGCACTCACACATCTTTTCATATAAATTAATGGTAATTGCCTCTTTGCTTTATGCCATTTTGGCTTAGGGAAGATTTTAGGAATGTTCCACTTTCAGATAGTGGGGAAACCCTGTAGTGGATTCTCCAGTCATTACTGGGGAATGGGTAAGTTGGCATTCCCCCATCTTCAGTGAGCAGCAGCAGGTGACTGCAGATCTTGGGAATGTCTTAACCAATGCAAATTTAAGAAAAAC